TTCCCGCTGTTCTCCTACAAGAAAAAAATGCGCCAAGGTTAGAGTGGCGCATTGTAGCAGCTCATTTTGTTTGAATATGAAAGATAAGTATTAAATTGTTCTAAAAGTTTAATAACCTCACTAATGATTTTAGATGTTTTTTAAAAATTCTCATCTAATTTTTACATATTTTAAGACGCTTGTTAAAAAAACCTAATAACTTCTACAAACCAATAAAGAATAAAACTTCATGTGCATATGAAAAATTACGTACCTTGATGTCTTAATCTAAATTGTTGTAATACTTTCTTTACAAACGACAAATTTCAAGTGACACACTTTTTAACACTGACTAACGATTGAGACAAGGCGACTTGATTGCAATAGAAGATTCTATCAGTTTTTAAAATTTCAGGCAGTCCTTTATCAGGAAATAATATTATGACGGGCTTTAAAAAACAGTGAAGATTATTAATTTTGTCCGCGCAAGCCGTGCTAAAGACTGATGTCGGTGATTACTACATATGACTTCAGTCCGGGAGCCAAGCTCACGTGCGGGCCAACCGCCGGACCTTTGTATTCTGTGCCGGATAGTTTAAGAATCTTTGTGACGTTGTCAAATTTCAATTGGTGTAAGCTCTAGATACAACGCGGGATGTTGGCCGAGTTCGCTTTCGCGCCGCTGCAATTAGGAAAGCCGCTTACTTAATTATTCGTTATAAATTAACGCGAAAGAAAAAGTGTTTGGTTCGATTGCGTAACTCGAGCATAGTTTAGCGGCTCTTAACCACCGATTCGCGTTAATTGTTCCACACGAAACTTTCCAAACGTCGTTAAAAGGTCGGTGTTTACTTTTAACTTAATTGCCATAATAGCAGAATCGTCTGGATTTCGATCTCGGTCGAACCGCCAGTGGCGTAACGGGAGTATTTTTCTTTTCGATTTTTTTGTTGATATCCTTGTGCGCGTATCTGGAGGTGGGGCTTGACGGGAAAAATTTAATAATAGCGAGCGGGACTTGGAAATGAAAAGGTAGTTTCATTGTTTGTCCGACAATCCCGCAGCAACTAATTAGAAAATTCGGTTTAATTAAACTGAATTCGCGCGGAAGCGCGTGCTTATTATATTTCGCGAACGTTCCAGAAATTTAATATAAGATTCCGACGAAGCACGAAAAAAATTATCTTCGCCCCATCTATCAGAGTGTATTACATAATTTAAAAAAAAGGCGAATTCTTGGGGAACAAAAAATACTAGATACAAAATACAAATTTGTTCAAAAATATGTTTACTACACCACTGGATTCAACTTAAAAATATTTGTCCATAGCAGTTTTAACCTTTAACTAACTTGCAGGTTATAAAAATTTACAAATTTAATTTAGCTTTCTATGTAAAAAACTCCAAACCAACATGACGCACTGACAGATCGTGAATAAGTTTGGAAGCGGCATTTTCCGGCAGTATTTTCTGAAAATATGTTCATATCCTGTTAAGTCTTCAGTAAAACGGAGTTAAGTACGGCTAATGGGTGAAAACGAACGAAAATATCAGACCTACCTGAAGACGCCTGATAATTTTTTTTTCGTTATAGTTCTTATATTGTATTTAGACACTTTAGTTTTAGATTTTGTGTATCTTTATGTAGATATTATTGTCTTTCTTAATTGTTCCATTCAGTATTAATACATTATTCCTGAACATCCTGTAATTAAATTGATTAATCAATTAAATCAATACCAAAATCCAGGAAGTGGTGTTAAACTCGATTGTCATCTCTATAATTCCGTGATAAAGCTGTCGTTAATTTAAAATTGGGTGTGAAACAATAGTGTTGAATTCCACCTTTAACTATAAACCGATTACAGTAAAACTTTCACATTAACAAGGCGGTCGCGTGAATTTGCTGTCTCCTCTATCGTGAAATTAAAGCAAATAGTTTTGTTTCGAGTGAAGTTTATTTTGAGCTAAATCCTTGCTCTTCTTCTCCAGGATTGCCTTACAAGTGTACTTAACGTTTTGCTTGTTTTGTTCGTACTATTACCAGAAAGCATAAAATGTTTTACCGTAATCGAACATTGTCCGCTCTATTGGTCGTCAAATATTTGGTTAGTTTCTGTTATCCTGTTGTTGAGAGGAGGGGGAGGCATATACAGCATAAGCATGATAGGAACTAATCAAATACTTGGCGGCAACATAGGATTACGGTCAAACATTTAACGCCTTCTCTATTACCTATTTTATACCGTGATTGAGTTTAAAGCAAACGAGCCAATCAACAAACGGGTCATACACACCACAAATGGTTAACTTCATATTTACACTATTTACACTTCTAATAGTTATCTTTGATGATTTAGACCTTAAATGAAAAGATATATGCAGAAATGTAGAAATTGCATGGGTCTACCGCAAATATTTGCCTCGTTTTATTATTACCATCAGTATACTGTGCCTGAGTTAAAAATTTGAAGGATAAAGAAGCTAACCAATAAACACGATAAGAATGAACAATCAATCGGCTTTAGTGTAAAATGTTTATTGTTCAGTGTAAGAACAAGATTCAATTGAATTATACTGCACCAAAATAATTTCTTGCTTTATGTGTCGTCTACTACTATAGTTTGCGATTTTGTGTAAAAAGTGTAATCGTCAACTTAATATCAAAAGAACATATGTGACAAAGCCTCCGCCGGATCTGAACCCACCTTTGTCATCCTTATTCCCAGAGTGAGAAAGAAATGAAGGGCAATTTGGAATTTGAAATTTAGAGATTGGGGTCAAAATAGAGGGAGAATATATGGTGAAGCTTTATAATAGAATTTCTAAATTAATGGGAAGGGAGGAAACATTATCCTCCCAAAATGAACAAAATTACCTATTAATTTTTATTTTTCTTGACTTATTGAAAATGTCTACACCTCAATGCTTAATAAATTTGAAAGAGCGTCAATGGGAGTAATTAATACAGGTGTGTTCAAGGCAGGTTTTGATGTAAAAATGACCATACATCCGAAAACACGCAGTATGGACCATAACAACCCTACCCTATTGATAAAAGCGAGGATCTGCTAATGCAATAATATACAGGATGTTCCATTTAAAACATATAAACATATAAGTTTGGTTTCCCACATAGTAATGAAGTGCCCTGTGGATTTCAAAATAATTTTAAATTGTTGCTTTTAGTCTTATTCAACATATTATTTGGACACCCAGGTTATGGGTGTGTGTCATTCTTCTTCACCTTATCTTCATAGAATAAATACCGAACCTTCAGCCCTTTTCGCATGAAATTAATTGCTCATCTAGTAGGAGCTTTTTTTGCATATCTGCTGAATATACTTACAACTTTTAGTTGACTTTAGTGATTTAGCACATTTCCTTTTGGTATCAAGAAATCCGTAGTCTGGCGTAAAACGTAAAGAAGGAGAAGCAGAATTATCTGTGACCTCCGTTTTATACTGTGCTTGAATTTGAAGTTTTAACAAAGTAACCAATAAACTTGGCCTAATGATCCCAGCAGACATGGCCAATAGAAAAATAATAGTAAAAGAAGAAAAATAATCAATAAACTCGTATAACTTCCTTAAAAATTTGTCGTTTTTTAATTGTGTGTAAAGTGTGTGTATTGTGTATAAGTTTATAAGTTTTTGCCTTATACGTGGCCCTGCCCATTTTTTTTATACGTGCTTATATAATGAAATTTAATCCACGGCATACCAAAAAGGAAATAAGCGGCGAACCCAGTATAAATCCGATTACCTTTGTTTGTCGTAAACGTAACGCAGTAATAACGTCTTTGTCCCTGCGACAACATTCCGGGCCGCGTCGTCAAAAGCCCGCTCCGTATATTATTCTCTTTCCGGCGTCAAGTGATCCTCGCGAATTCTATTACGCCGTCTATGCCGAGAGGATTTTGCAGTTTATTACGCCTTTTATTGTAAACGTCCTGAGAGCAAATTCACATAGGACGCTAAGCCGCCCGCTATTTTCCACGGGAAATTTCCCGCGTTATTCCTCGATAAGGAACGAATCACCTATTCGGGAACGGATTTTATAGAAATCCACATTGATTGCGTCACTATTTTTCTGTGGTTGAACACTTGTTTATGGCTGTGGCAGTTAAAGTACGTGGCTGATGTTATTTTCGTCACAACATCACTAATTACCGCGGAATCATCGTTAATTAGTTGTTTTGTACGTTTGTTCATCTGGTTCTCATGTTTTGCAATGTCGGAAACTAGGAACACCGACCGCATAGAATTTCTACGTTTCCACGGAGGAAATCGAAACACAGCTTGCAATAACTTGCGGAGATGTTTCAATCTCCCCAAGTTATTAAACGGAACTAATTTTCGGGACCTCCCGAAGGATACGAGGCTAATGCGAAGGAAACTTCGCCTTCAAAGGAGAGCGCAAATTGTAATTTGCAAGTTTACTTTGGGAGAGGCGGTATAAATAACTTTATTCTATAAATAATTCATGTTTTGGTTTGACCGTATCACAAGTACCTAAACGTGATACGGCCCTAGAGCAGTTATTATTATGAGGTCCTTATTGCAAACGCGTAACGATTGCAAAATTAATTTATAATCTGCGAAATAAATGAACACCCTCGCTGCCATCTATCCGCCCTTAGACAAATTAGTCGACGACCAGAACACCCCATTGAAGATTTCAATAATAAATCGTTTAATCTTTGAGATTGTGTACCCAGAGCAGCAGAATATATTATTTCATGGTTGGGGCAGATTTACATTGAAATAATAAATTGGTTTGATATTATAAGATTTTGTTTTTTTGCTAAATATGTAGAATAAGTTTTTCTCATTTCATTTTAATGAAAATACTAAAGAAAAATAGAGTAGAGTTTACAGTATTTATTAATAAAAACAAGCAAAGTCGGTAATGGGCGCGTGACCCTTCCAGTCGTGCCTAATGGGATACGTGAAAGAGGAAGGTGCCTGTGATGCTGTCACTGTATTTAGGTTGTGGGCGAATGATCCTGGTAGTCGTGCCCAACAGCTATCTGTGAAACGCATCATTGAATTGAATTGAATTGTATTTAGGTTAAGTAGTGCAAATTGTTTATTTTCGTTTATTTTATAGTGAACAAGGAAGGAATGTCTAAACAGTGAGCTACTGATTGAAAATACATATTAATGAATTTAACAACAGGTTCGTTTTAGATACGGTTTGATAATTCCCAATAAAGGCAAGCAGCATCTGGTGCAAGCTCCGATAGCAAGACCCTCTATTTTCGATAATGATTCTGATTCGGACGCTCCACCGCCTTCGTTGAAGCCGACCGGTCTTGGCAAGATCCGCAAACAAGACAAATTAAACCAGAATAAAGCGCTAGAGGAAGACCCCACCGTCTATCAATATGATGAAGTGTATGATGTTATGGAGCAAAGTCGCAAGGAGTCTAAGTTAGCGCGCAAAGATCTGGACAAGAAACCGAAGTATATAACCAAACTGTTGGCTGCAGCCGAGAGGCGGAAACGAGAAAATGAGAGGAGAATTGAGAGACAAGTACAAAAGGAACGGGAGGCCGAAGGTATATGAGCATGTTGTAAATTATTTTGATTGCTAATTGGTTTTTTACAGGTGAAGAGTTTAATGACAAAGAATCGTTTGTGACAACAGCATATAAAAAAAAGCTTGAGGAAATGAAGGAATTAGAGGAGCAGGAAAAACGTGAGGAATACTTGGAGAGTATCGGAGATGTAACAAAACAGGGCAACTTGGATGGATTTTATAGGCATTTGTACCACCAAAAGGTGAATTATGATGATGACAAAGTGAAAGAGGAACCAAAAAGTGACTCTGATGAAAATAAACGAAAACTATCTGAATATGAGTCGGATGAAGACATCAAGCCAGCAAAAAAAAATCGGCAATCGGCAAAAAGGAATTACCGAACTAGAAAACAATCAGAAAAGGAGTTGGAGGATGATGAGGAACCGGTAACAGTGAAGAAGGAACATTTACCGTCCAATTTGGATGCCGATTCGGATTTTAGCATTGACTCTTCAGATGATGAAAGTGAAGAACAGAAAACAAATAACATACAGGAAAATGAAAGTAAAGAAGTGAAAGAGACTGCTGTGGAGAAGGGCAACGTGCTTGGCGACAATATGGCGCTGGCCAAAGCACAAGAAGACGATGATGAAAAGAAGGTACCTGATAGTAAGGAGGAGGAGATAGAAGAGAAACCAAAAAGGCCAAAAATTGATATTTGGAAAAAGAGGACGGTGGGCGATCTTTTTGATGAAGCTGTCAGGAGGTATTTTGAACGGAAGGCCACTAGGGATGCATTCAGAAATGGTTAATTCATTGTATATAAGTTAGGTTAGGTTAGGTTAAGTATGATTTGTATTAAAGTACAATTTGATTATGAATAAATGCCTTTATTATATACAAAGAAAAATATGAGACCACGCGCCCAAGCAAGAGTTGTCAACCTGACAACTATCATTCAGCTGTTTTGACAGACAATCCAGGCCAACTTCGTTGGCGCAGGTTTAAACGTCAAACGCAGGAAAGGGGCGACAATTCGGGGTTATATTTTAAACACATTCACAAAAGAAAAATCCTATGCACTAAAAAATGAAGAAAAAATAGGGATGTAAATATTTAACTTTTGACCTTCTTTTGTTGTCTGTGCCTATAAATATCGTTCATTGGAGGCATGTGCATGTCTTAGTCGTCGGACGCGTCCATCGTATTGTACTCTTTCATCCAACGTTGTTCTCTTTGACACTATGAGAAGGTTGAATTTTCAATAATTTGTTTGGTGTCTCTATTTGATCTTTTAGATTTTTGTGAACAGCTACAACTTAGGCCTAAGATGGGGCAGTTGTACTTTACCTTACCTTTTAGTTTAGCCGCGCCTGTCTTTAGCTTGATGGTAGTGAATTGAGTTAGCATGGTGCGGACAGCTTCTAGACATCCAGCACAATAGTAAGAAAGCATCCCATTTGGTAACCCTAATTTCGCATTTTTTTCAAAGAGCTGTTTTATAAATATTACATGGTGCACTCATTAATATATTTGCTTTTTGAGGTTATGTCTTGTTTTGAACCCATGTTTTCAGTTCTAAACAAACTTGTGCACAAACTACTTGATTTGTTGTTTAAAACGGATGTTATTCTATTGTTTCTGATGAGGTTAGGTTAAGATACAATTTGATGATGAATAAATGTCTTTATTTTATAACTATATACAAAAAAATAATGAGACCACACCCCCAAGCAAAAGTTGTCAACCTGACAACTATTCTCGATTCAGCTGTTTTGACAGACGACCTGGGCCAAGTTCGTTGGCGGAGGTTTAAACGTAAAACGCAGGAGAGGGGCGACAATTCGGGGTTGAATTTTAAACACATTCACAAAAGAAAAATCCTATGCACTAAAACATGTAGAAAAAATAGGGATGTAAATATTTAACTTTTGACCTTCTTTTGTTGTCTCTGCCTATAAATATCGTTCATTGGAGGCATGTGCATGTCCTCGTCGTCGGACCCGTCCATCGGCAGCCCCATCCTCTTCCTCTTCTTAATCCCGATACCGCCGTTCTCTTCGATAATCCAATGGACCGACTTGGCGATATCGAACAATCTGACGTCACCGTTGCCGGAAGGAGGCGCGACTGCAACAAAATTCACGTATATCCGTTTTACGTGCTAAAGTTCCGCGCTTACTGGCAGACGGCAGCTGTACTCTGACGAAGATATCCATCAGAATATCGATATGAACGAACGGACCTCGAAAGCAATGGGGAGGGGGTAACAGCGTACACAAATGGGCGGCCGCTGGTGGCATAGGGAACGACCCACCTTGATTTTCAATTTAAATTTAATTGATACGGTGATTAAAATCATAAGCAAGTCGATTAACGTACCTGGCACCGGGTGTTCACCGGGTAATGGGTTAGCCTTCGGTTTATATGGTATCATTTGCGAGTAATCAGGTACGGGCAGAGGCGCTTCGAGATTACTGTTGATTATGGACTGGAGGATGTGATTTTTGCCGGCCGCACCCGTTATGTTGATAACCTCGGTGTAACTGTAATATGAGAAATAAGGAGAATCCCCTCAAAGAAGCTAAATGTTATGGTTAGTTGACTAACCCGATGGTTTTCAACTCCTGGGAAGTGCACGGAAACAGGTCTAAGAATCGGTATCTGTCGACCAACTGGGCGGTCTCCTTTCCCTCAAACTCCTTTATGTTGGACAAGACCTCGGCCCGTCTACGTTCCACCTTAACAATGGACTGCAAGTCCCCTATATTGCACTCAAACTCCAGGAACCGGTTCCAGATGTCCCTAAAAGTGCAACATGGAACCCTACCGAGCCCGTAAAGACTTACACTTACACCGATTTCTCTTTCTCCAAGCTGCCCGACGACAGAACCCTTTCGAACAACACCCTCGTGTTGTTGTCTTCGTTTAAATGAGACAGGTAGTCGATATAGCAGGTAATGTACTCGGGGATGTCGCCGAACTTTTTCAGCCCGAGCTCGAAAATCCTGAACGCGATATTCTTGTCCTTGCTGCAATAATACTCCATGAGGGCGGCGCACACGAATATGTGGTACTTGCTGCGCGCGTCTTCGCGCGCTTTTTTGAAAACCGCTCGGGCCGACTTGATCCCCTCCGCCCTCCTCGAGAACTTCATGTACTGAATGTACGCCTGAAATTTCGTCCCGCTTCTGAACTTTCAACGAACCATACGGTCGGGTAAGAAGAAAGATGTTTATTAGACCGAATAATTTTTACTCCGAGAAAACTCACGTAAATATAACCATATTTTATAATAACATATACGAATGAAATATCGTCCCGCTTGTGACCTTTCAACGAACCATATGATCGGGTAAGAAGAAATATGTTTATTAGACCGAAGAAGAATTTTTATTCTGAGAAAACTCAGGTAAATATAACCATATTTTATAATAACATGTACGAATGAAATTTCCTCCCGCTTCTGAGCTTTCAAAGAACCATATGGTAGGGTAAGAAGAAAGATGTTTATTAGACTGAAGAAGAATTTTTACTCTGAGAAAACTCAAGTAAATATAACTTCCTAATTTTTTTTCAGGCTTCATTTAATGAGCTTTGGTTCAACAATGTTTTAAATCGTTTCATTGCGTCTTCCCTCATTTTTATTGGCTTCAAGAAATATCGACTTTTACTTTTAAAGTATATAGAGGTGGATTTTTTTTTGTGTTCTCTGGTTTTGGAACATTCAAAGGGTTGGAAGTATGGGATTCAAATGTTCCTCCATGGTAAGACTTTTATTATATAATCTCTAAAATCTGCTTGTTTTCGAAAATATTTGAGGGTATGGTTTCCTATTATGTCACCTTTTATTTTAAAAACATTATAATAGAACAGTATGGTTTTGTCAAGGGAAGGTCAACTGTTTCGAACCTCCTGAGCTATGAGCGTTCGCTGGTAGGGGCCTTTGAGAATGTCTATCAGGCAGATGCTATATATACTCAATTCTCCAAGGCCTTCGACATGGTTGACCATGGCATTCTGATAGGGAAGCTCTAAGGGATTGGAATATTTGGAGACCTTCTAAATTGGTTTCGCAGTAATATCTCTAACCGAAAGCAATCAGTTAAAGTTAAAAATTACATTTCGTCAGAGACTGTTGTGACGTCTGGTGTCCCACAAGGGGGACAATCTTTCCACATTCCTTTTCAATGTTATCATTAATGCTAAAGCTCTTTAAGGTCGTCATCGATTACCGGAAGCTCTTGATAGGTTTCCTTTGTGGTGCAGACAGAACAATTTAACTCTTATTACAAACAAGTGCAAACTTGTAAGCTTTAGCAGATCTAAAAATCCAGTAACTTTCATCTATCATTTGAATTCTGAATAGCTTGAGAGACAAAACCTAGTTAAAGATCTTGGAGTTTGGCTCGATTCTTATCTTACATTTACACATCACAAGTGATTTTATGACTACCAGAGCTATTCGATTACTTGGGTTTGTTTTTTCGGACTTTGAAGGGTTTTGAAAACACCTTTATGTATAGGGAGCTGTACTGCGCGTTTGTGCGTTCAATTTTAGAGTATGCTAGCTGTGTCTGACAACCACACCATGCAATTTACAAGGAAAAACAGAGAGTATGCAGCGTAAGTTCCTTAGAGGGATAGGTTTTAAATTGGGAATGTCATTTGAGGATATAAACTGCGAGATTATGAAGCTTTTGAATCTGACACCTTTGGAGAATAGGCGCATATTTTTTGACATCTCTACATTTTACAAAATCCTTATGCACCAGATCTTCTGGCATCTGTTGCTTTTCATATTTCTCCTATTAATGCTAGAAATAAGGCTCTTTTTAACATTGATTTTCATGAGACAAACTATGGCGTTAACTCGCGTTTGAATTGAATGTGCAAACTGACAAATAGTAGTTTTAATTGCAAAGTAAAGAAGACTGTTTTTAATCAACCCGCCGCCTTGCAAACTTGGTAGTTTAGCAATTGTAAGTGTTGTTTATAAATTCTAAATGCGTCAATAATAATTTTAATTTTAATTATTAAACGTCTGGACTCACCAATGTCGGATCTATGTCATCGATTTCCAAATATTTCGAGTATATCTGATGGACCTTCTCATATTTGAGACGGCCCTCTTCGTAATCTGCATACGCAAAGTAAAGAAGCATGTTTTTGCTGAGCAAAGAACTAGTGGCCCTTTCGAAAACGTTAGCCGCTTCCTCGCTGAATAGCTTCGAAGCGTTGACGTCCCCTTTTTCGGTGAGAATTTTGCTGCTGTACTCCAGAAATTGAGCGGCCTGATACCAGATGTCCGGGTGATGGCCCAAACATAATAGACATTGCTCGAGGGCGAAAATAACCCTTTTAGTGTGCAGCGCTGTATCCTCTGTCCGCAGGGGGTTACTTTTTTCCCAAGCTATGTACTTTTGCCAAAGTTCCACCTGAAAATGAGCCCCATCTGGTGATTTCGTTGATTTTGATTAACTTTTTATTGTTATTCTGTTTAATAGATTGTTTCATCAATATTAATGTTAACTTTATTCACCATATTTTAGTAGTACCATTTCTAAAATAATCATGGAGGAATTGAAATAGATCCTTCTTGCATAAGTATTAATGTTTAAGTGTATTGATCATATTTCCATTTTTAAAGTGATCATGGAGAGATTGAAATAGACCGTTGCATTAATATTAATATTAAGTTTATAGACAATATTTTAGTTCCATTTCTAAAATCATCATGGAAGGATTGAAATATTAATATTTAAGTGCATTGACCATATTCTAGTTGCATTTCTAAAGTGATCATGGAGAGATTGAAATAGACTGTTGCATCAATATTAATGTTAAGTTTATAGACCATATTTTAGTTCCATTTCTGAAATCATCATGGAGTGACTGAAATAGACCATATTTTTTATTTAAAATAAAGATCAGTATTCTCTGTAAATTTGATGTTTTATGTGGTGTTGGTGTAGATGGTTTCCATTTTTAGTTGGAAGCCTTTGTCAATTAACTAGTTTTAATTAATTTGCAATAAGAATTTTTACTTATAACTAATAAACGTTTTATATATATTTTTTTTGAATTGTGAATGGTCAACATTTTTACCTGTTTCTTTTCTTCCGATGTGCCATTCGGAGGTACACTAGGCGCATTTCTATTAATCCCCCTGATCTGAACCTCGAGTTCTTTGGCGACTCGACGGGCGTTCATGTAATCTCTACTCCGCTCGATGCTCATTTTTTCCGCGATTATTGGATTAATGGCCTGCAAAAATCAGAAATCAAGTCTGATTCACAAATAAGACAGTAGAATTACCTGCTCGAAAGCAATGTAGTCTTTCCAAAACGTTTCCATTCCCGTCATAGGATTTATAATCCCTTTCTGATACACTTTCCGGACAGCAGATATTTTTTGATTTTCAGCATACGAACCCACAGCCTCTACACCTTTTAAGAAATTTACATAATCATTCCAGATTGCATAGGAGTGGATATCCATGCCGATTTTGTCCAAGGCAAAATCATATGCCTGAGCCATTTTCTCTCTACAATATAACATTCTTTAAATAAGAATTGTAAACAGAAAACAGTTCTACAGAATTTCACTTACTTGTAGGTCGGCAGTGATGCCTTTGTTTCTTTTACATAGGCAAGATATAACTTCCACAGTTCAATATTTAAAATCTTCATTAGACATCTTTGAAATAGCTGTTGGAAAAGTTGTATTACATCTAAACTGTAGGATTTTAACCAATCTGTTTGCTTTACCTTAGTTTTCTTTCATCTGATATAGTTAACAAACAGATTGGCATTTTATATTCAAAAAACAACCAAACACTGGTTAATGAAGGTGAAATATTGGCCGCAAACCAAAACACAGTAAAAAAATTATCTTTTATTGTCAAATACAGAGGAAGGAGAGGGTTAACAATGCACAAATAAAATGTACAACACTTCACCTTCATTAGCAAATGTTTTGCTTTATTTCGTGTGGCAAAATGATTGAAATAAGGCAAATAAACCAAAAAGACTTTATTTTATTAAAAAAACACATTAATACCGCCAATTTTCTTACAACTAACATTACCTTTTCCACTCTTTCAAAATTTCTGGACTTGATCTGTAAAGAAGTTGACAATAAGTAAACAGGTCCAAACAATCAGATATATAGTTCATACCTCATGTTCAATGTAAATCTTCCAGTAACGGGAAGCACTGGGAAATATTGTTATCAAATGCTCATACAAAGCTCTCACTTCAGATATGTGCTTGCTCTGAGCTTCTCTTAATAGAACGGACCACGCTTCCAAATCATAGGGATTCTTTTCCACTTGTTTTTGTGTTCGGTACAATTTTTCATTGCCCCAGTCCTGCAAAAAACCGTTGCTTTACTTAGGAAACCATAACTGCAATCCCTCTTACAATGTGGAGACGTTCCTCGTTCATAATTCTGGTTGTTTTTTTTTTAATATAAAATCGACAAATATCCGATATTCAATATATATGACTTACACGCTTCTACTTAATAACGCACAATTGACAATAAAAACAAAATGTGTACCATAGAACACTTCTTCTTCTTCTTTGTTTTTAAAATGAGCAAATCTACTCTGGTCAATTACGCATTGCTGACACACGCCAGGAGTACATCGTAAAAGTTCATGGCATATTACTAATGACCACGTTAATCATGTTACAAGCGCAAGCATTAAGAAAATCATATCTAACCTTACCAGTAAGCTGCAAATTACGTAAACCGAATAAATAACGTAATAAAAAACAAAATCTGTCACTGCCGCTTTTGACGTCTTTGATTCGATTCACAAATAAATCAAACTGCCTTATTTAGATGCTCGACTAATTTATTTACTACAAAAGCATAATCAACATTTTTAAGGTCGGGTATACAGTAAAACCGTTAGAGCACAGTTTACGGGAAAGGTATAGCCAAAGCGGCAATGCAGGTTGCCTTGCACGCCAGGAATGCGGCGTTGCATGTGGCTAGGGCCGGAACTGCTGCGATTACGGAACCAGGAACGGTACCAAAGGTAAAACCGGCCGCTGCGTAGCAAGCGGAGACCACTGCGGTGCAACCGCAGATACAAGCAGCGGACGTTAGTGGTCCCGCTTCTGTGGTCGAAAAAGTAAGCAGCAATAGCACCATTGCATTTCTAATCCAAGTAGCCTTCATCATTTTGACGGCCGAATCTTTAAAAGCAAACGAAATATATCATGACTTTGTTGTCAGTGGGACATAAAAAAAGGTTTAAGTTAGTTGAACGTTGTAGTTGCAGTGGAATTCCGGGTTCTAATAGCAGAGATTTACATTAATTAATTAATTAACTTAGTGAACAGGACACAAATTACGCATTTTTAATACAGTGCAAAAGTCGACACAGATAGTTTTAAAAAAAGTTTTCTTCTTCTTTGGTTACATTTGCCAAGTTCATTCGGCCAGTCGTAACATTTTAAAATATGTAATTGTACTCAACACGTGATTAATTTGTGGACACACGAAAAAAATGTCTAGAAAAAATGAAGTACTTTTCAAGTAATTAGGTTTACTTTTGCGTTTTATCGTGAATCGATATGGGAATAACGGAGATATCATTTTACTTACCCGATTAACTGAAACTAGCAATTTTAATAGGTCTATTTGTCTGTGTACGAATGAGGAATAAACCATAGCTTTATATATACTCCTTTTTATCAAAGTTACAAATAAAATTTAAGGGATTCACCAAAAATTAGAAAGAAAAATTCGATAACGTAAAAGAAAAAAGTGTAATCGATGTACAAATCCCTTTATTATTTTGTCACGTTATCCACTCCGAACGTTCAATTTGAACAAAGTGCTAAAAGTTTCGCGAAATAAGTTTACATTTTTAGTTGTTTTGTTTAAAGTTACATGAATCAAACAAAAAAGGGCAAACGTGAAAAATGGTATTATATTATACCTAATACAAATATAATTGCCGTGCTATTGGGGCAACATAACTATCAATATTTGAAATAAGAGTTTGTATAAGCATGGGTTCCGATACAGGATGTTAAATTGAAAATAAATATATTTGAAATTAATATCTAAACAAACATTCACTCGATTCTGTTGAAATTTGGTAATTTTGTATGGTAATGGTGTATCAAGAGGCTAATTTGGCTCTTATTAAGTCCAGTGACGTCCATAACATAAAGTACACTACAAGAAATGTTGGAAATGTCGACAGAAGATCGAAAATTACTTCAGGAATTACGCCAGTAGAGTGAGAAAAGACGAGAAGGACAAAGGATCCCTATAGACAGGACGAACCTCTCACTATGATTTTCTAGACCTTTTGCTCCTCACTCTCTGAGTTAAGCGGATCACTTATCTTATTTTTGGTACTCTCAGGCCAACCAAGGGCTGGTATCTATAGCCTAATTTGCCCCACTGCACTGCACTCAGATGGTGTCTAACAAAGCTACTACTTGTGGCGGGGGTTGTTTGGTTGACTAAAAAATTGAAGTCCTCTTCAGTTTTTGTCTAATTTTTCTCTTTAAGAGTTGCATTGAGACCATTAAATGTGATTAAAGCGATTTATAGAAAAGATCACTTTTAATACCCGACAAATGTATGTATGTATGGGAAAAGGGTTAACGACATTGCATTTAAATACATTAACTTAGTTTTTTTAGAATTTTAGAATACGGGTTCCCAGAAACCTAGGCGCAACAAAAAAATAAGCAGAAATTCTTGCAATTTAATGTTTTATTCTTGCTAACCCAACTCGTTAATTAAATTGTTAAATCATATAATTATAGAAGCCTATATGTCACCTTTTTATAATTATAGAAGCCTATATGTCACCTTTTTATTTAGACACAAACATTTTTCTTAAATTTTCAGATCTACACCAGAGGCTGTTTTTTTTTCTACGTTCAAAAATTAAAAAAAAAACATTTTTTTTCAATTTGCCCTTTTAAGGCACCGATTCCCTGTTTTTAATACAATCTCAGCGATTACCATTGACTTTTTTTCATATAAAGAAGCCTTACGGTTTTCTTATTAAAACGCGGAAACTATTTCTCGAGTATCAAAAAAAAGAAAGAAAAATTTGGTTTATACAGAATATTGTACTTTGTATCAATTGTCGACACTGATAATAAATTTAATTCAGTTATTAATAGTTATGACGGTAAAAAGATAAAGAGATAAAAAACTAAGCTAAGTAACAACATATCAATGTAAATAGACCTCTCAAAAATATGAATAATTTTCCTGTTTTCAGACACAAATTTAAACACAAATTCTAGTGGCTTTCGGGGATTCCCTGGACGCCCTCCAACTTGTTTCAACTACGCAATTAGCTTCGTTGTAGCCTCTTTTGTAAGCAAAGCGGCAAAGTTAAGATTTTTGAAAAAAATCGTTCGTCTGAAGTATTCATTTTATTCAGTATGCGATCCATTTATAGTATACAGGGTGAGCCGCTTATCTTGGGACACCACCATATCTCCGAAACTATAGGGAATGGAGCCAAAAGTTCAATACAAAAGTTGACGTATTACAAACCTTTCATTTATTTTAATTTTGTATATACAGGGTGTTTAATTTTCCGTGGGCGAATGCCAACTTTCTTATTTTAAATGGAAAACCTAGTATATTACTATATTTTTGAATTCTATAAAAAATTCTAGACATCTTTTATGTTTAATGTCTTATATCTAAGCCCAACCGTTTTTGTCATTTTTAATTTTTTATGCGAAAAATGACGTTTACAAGACGTAAAATATCTGCCAGTTTCTTCATTGGGAAGCGCTTATTGTTTCATAAGAAATTTCGATATATATTGATACAGGGTACGCGAAAAACAAGATTAAAAATGAAATTAAAAAACTGGCAAAAAACTTTTTTTAAATTGCAAATTACAAAAAAATCTAGGGGAGTTAAATCGAGGCCAGGCGTACTACTACTGTCGTTCCCTTTCGGCCACTCCATTTTTAACAAAGTTATGAATAATATTTAAAAGCTCTAAGTAGCGTTGGGAATTTAAATTCTGATCAAAAAATTCTGGACCTATTATTCTGAACCTCCAAATGGCGCACCATACTTTGACAGAAGTTCTACCTGATCTTGTAACTTCCCTACGTTTTCTTTTATTCTCATTGCTACAGTAATCGATATTTTTCCAATTAAAAATTTTAGTAATCTGTACAAATAATATTAGTTTCTGAAAAGTGTCTCTCCATAAAATTGTTCAAAAAATCTAACGTGATGTTGTAATCCCGTTGCTAAAATGTCTGCACTGGACCGAATTTATAGGACTTGTTTTGTTTAAACGTCGTAATAGCCACCCTACACCAGCTCAACTTAGATGGCAACAGCATATTATTTGTGATAGACAAATGTTCAAAAGGAAACAGAAAAAGTAAAAATATTAGGCATATATGACCTTATACAAAATTGACCTAATTTTTAATGCTAAATATGACAAGATTATAAAAATAGGTAATTTCCATTAAAAAAAGTTTTTTTGGCATATTTTTAATATTAATTTTCGCGTACCCTGGATAGTATAGAAAGTTCTTATGAAATCCGTTATTCGAGTCCTTTGTCTACAACAAAACTTACTCAAGTGAAACAATAAATCATTCCGAATGAAGAAATCAGCAGATATTTTACGTCTTGCAAACGTCATTTTTGGTATAAAAAATTAAACAAGTCCAAAACGGTTAGACTTAGGTATAGGTCTAGAATTTTGTATAGACTTCAAAAATGAAGCAATATGCCATGTGTTCTATTTAAAATAATGATGAAGGTGATACTCGCTCACGAAAAATGAGGCACCCTGTATATACAACATCAAAATAAATTGAAGGTTTGTACTACCCCAATTAAGTTTGGTATTTACCTCTAGCTCCATCCTATATAGTTTCTGGAATAAGGTAGAGCGGCACCATGAAAATGTAAAGATGTGTAACAAGTTCTGTATTTTCCTTTAGTGTATATGTGTACTTATAATATGTAGCATATTAAAAAAAAACAGTCTTTCGTTCCGAATCACACCCAACACATTTACGGGAAAATCAATACTAAAAATAAAACTTTATAATTACTTTTAATCTTACCACAGAAAACTCAATGTAAAATATTGAATATAAGTTATTGTTGAGGGGATAATGACCAAACGCACTTTTGTTTGTGCAACATATCTTTAACCATGTCAACAACTATGAGAGATTGTCCGGGAAAACTACACTAAATATTAACCAATATAAGTTTTCATATATCAATACCAACATTTTACATTTATTGGCATTTTCACAACGGATTTCTCCGTGTCATACGACCGAAAAACACGAATTAGAACATGTGTCCATATTTTAAATGAAGGAACAATGAACCAGTAGTTCAACAAAATATCAGGAGATGGAGCGTCACAGCGACGATGTTTTTAGAATGAACGGGACTTGGCGCAGTGGTTTTTGGGGATTCCCCTCAGTCACATCGATTTGGTCGGCGGGACAACAACTGCGCAATTAAATGCACCGTTGCCGTTTTTGCGGTAAAATCGTTCAATCTAAGTGTTTGGAAACAATACGTTCATTTCTCTACGTTTAATTTGTTGAATTTGATAACGTAAGGGTGCATACATCTGACTGTTAAGGAGTACAAATAAGACAATCTTACAGAAGAACACTGAATAGGTAATATTTTATAGCGTGCCCGGTGTTTTATCCAAGAATCCCTGAAAAAATTGTTGTCTGGCGAAATCGTATAATTTGAATTGTAAGTTATATTAATTATTTCTGTAAGACAGAAATATAAACGGCCCCTGATTTTTATCTGCGTTTAGTTATTTCCCCCTTATCTGTTTGTAAGTAAATGTTTGGATGAGCGGCCTAGCGCAGCAGAATTATTGACAACGTCGCTACCTTCGATCCTTTTTTCGTATATAAATACATCGGCAGCAAACGAAAATAACACAAACCGGGAGAGTTTATAGTGCAAGAAGTTTAGACGCGAATAATTTTCTGTATCACCTTTTCGGTAAGTTTTCTTGTTCACTTTTAAGCCGATACCTTTCGATGAGGTAGTAGAAACGTTATTTGCATTTGCCGTGAATTTGACAGTTTTATAAACTACGTTGGATTTTTTTAAGTAACTACCCTTATATAATTTAATTAGCATACAACGCCACTTTTGCTCAAAGACGTTGCGCCCCATTTCAATTTTTGCCATTTTGTATTGTACTTTTTATATTTACATTTCTGCGAGTTCACATGTTAGCTGCGTGTTTATGTTTTCGAGCAATGATAATCTAAAATTTACCGTCCGATTAGCTTGTTTTTTATACAAATTGTATTTACAACATATTTGAGTTCTCGTACTCAATGTTTGTTTTTTATTAGTATCGATAATTTTACTAAGAGTTGATTATTAATTAATTGTAACTGGAAATTATTAATTAAGACAAGAAATTGTCATCGCATTATGGAAAACGGTTACACTTTTGGTTTGGTATCTATCCTGTGCATATTTTTACGTTTTGGTTTATAGATCAAAGATGGTACGTGCAACTTGGTTTAGGAACATCGCTCTTCTGTTGCTGTTCTTTTCTGCAACAGAAGCAGGACCGATTGCGGCCGGAATATGCTATGCGGGTTGTGCTGGGATGGTGGTCGCATGCTTCGCAGCTGCGGGATTTACCTTTGGTACAGTTCCGGGGGCCCAGATAGCAGCTGTTCCTGCCCTTGCCGCATGCAATACCGCCTTCGCGGCATGCGAGGCGGCCTGTGTTGCCGCTTTGGTTGTCCCAACACCATAATTTCTGATTCTTATATGGTCAGTTTTGGATTATTTGAATTAAAACTTTGATATTGCCGCATTGTTTTCTTTTATTACCGTAGGTATCGAAAAAAGTGTCCATTGCAGTTCATTGGAGCGGAGAAGTTTAAGAAAATAAAATCTTTGGGTAGTTTTTCTTGATTCAAAGCTCACTTAGTTTATGGGACCGGAGCAATATCAACGTTTTTATCTGCTTGTAGGCATTTTTGGGTCAATAAATCAAAGCAGTACAGGGTAGTAGTAAGAGACCACAAAATATGTTGACACATTCTGTTGTATTGCCTACTGCATATTATTCGTAATTATACAAATAGTAAATACATATTAAATAAAATTAGTCGTCAGAATAGTTTGAATTTGTGCTATTACTATAATTCAAGCATTTAATGGTTTTGAACTTCTGGAAAAGGGAATTTATTGCAAATGTGCAAAGACTGCGTGCCGATCAAGTGGGTGCAGTTTTTTTTCTTTTTGATATATTGTTCCGTATTAATTTGGTTGTTTATAGCGGCTAAATTGAAATAATAAATTGTGAAGTTTTTTTTTTGTGAGGACTGTGTTTATCTGTTCAGTAAAAAGCGTAAACATCCAGCACTTTTTGCGGTGTCAATTCTCCGTCGTCAATTTCATTCGTTTCTTTTATGCGTTTAACGCAGAATTTGCCGGCTCGCACCAACAAATAAGATTGATTTCGAAAAATCGTCGCTGGGCGGGGCAAGTTCGTCGCAAGTAGCGCGAATCAACATTTTATTTTAAAAAGAACGCGCTTCGCTTAAGAATCGTGCTCCTGCTGACCGCTATAGAACTTTGGCAAAATCGATGTTATTTTATTGCGAATACACCCTGTATAGAGAGTCCTTCACATCTCGTCGAACTTCAAAGTTACGCCAAACTTCAGTAAATATTAAAATTAGTACTGGCAATTGCAATTCAAGATTATATATTTTTTAAAATTTATATTTTTGACAAAAAGTTCTGTGTGTGTTGGAGTTACCGAAGTGTTGTAGCATCTAATGGTAGACTAGGGTGAACACACGCAATGTATTCGAACTGATTTTGAGCATTGAAGATGCCAAAGTGGCGAAATGTCTGCAGGACACCAGCCGGAGTTCGACAAACGAACGAAAAACTACCATTAAAAACATATTGAGACCTAAAACTTTTCTATGCAAGTCAACATCATATGTGGACCAGTTGTAACTTAAAAGGTTTTTATTCATTTTCACAGATCCAATTATTTTGTTTTATTATTATGTTTGTTTTAAAATTATGTTTATGCTTTTTAGTATTAATTCACACTGAGTTTTAACTACATGGGCGAACATTTTCGGTCTTGTATTATTGTGTCTAAAATTTAATTTGCAGCGGCATATTATTGTTTTTTTTTTAATCACGTAGTACAAGAGATAAGTTTTATCATATGAGTTGGTTAGTTCAACTTCAACTAGTTTTTTTTGTTTTCATAGAAATTGTTATTATAAAAGTTTTGCTGGACAGTGTGACTTATTTTGTAGGTATGTAGAAAAAAAGTTACTAATTTCATTAGGTTCCGATAATTGTTTAATTACCTTATTTAACCTTTTAAAGCTGACCAAGTTTCTTTCCAATTGCTTTTAAAGGAGCCAAGATATTGTTTCTTTTCTTTTCTTATTGATGCTAATGTAATATTTCTCAGTTTATAGCGTATCCAGGCGGACTGTAGTTTGGATTCTTTAAATTTCTGCAGTGTCGCCTGCCTTTGTTTTATAATAATAAATTAAAATAATTTAATATTTTCTGTCTGTACTATCAATGTTATTGTCGTACAATCTGTCATCCTAAGGTAAAGAGCTGATATCACTTATGGAGTAAAAAAAAAATAAGTAAAAAAAAAACATTTTTTATTTATTAGTCGCGACTTTGACATTGGGGATGTTGCACCGAGTCCATATTTAGAGGACTTACTCAAAGTACGAGGGCTACCTTTTATATTTCGGGATTTGTAATAAAAAACTATGAGCTACTAACAAATATGACTTTACTGTTTCTCAAAATATTCACCCTGATGATCAATATACTTTTGCATTCGATAAAACCAATCATCAAAGCACTTTTCCCACATGGAGTTGGACACCACAAAACATGCTTTTCAAACGCATCAATCGCTTCTTCTGGTCTCAAAAATCGCTGCCCACGTAATTTATTCTTAATGTATGGGAATAAAAAGAAGTCATTATGTGCTAAATCAGGACTATATGGTGGATGGGTCATCGAATTAACATTTTTAATCCTCAAAAAGTTTTTTTTTTGCATTGATCGGCGAGAGCTAGTCGTCGTCGTGGAGAGTGATTCGTCTTTCGGCGGTTGGATGGTGGTTCATAATTGACTGTTTTACCAGTAAAGGAGCAGTTGCAACGTGGCCATTTTTCCTGAAAAATTGTTTCGAGGTGCCTTGCTCACTAACAACTTTTGTGGGCTTTGTCTCATTCTGACAGACCCACACAGTCGACTGCTTCTTACTTGCAGCTTCATTCATCACCTGTCACGATATCATCGACGTGTTTGGAAGCACCGCGATCGTATTTTTTTATCATTTCCTTCGACCAATCAACACGGGCCTTTTTTTGAGCTGATGCCAAATTCTGTGGAATCCAACGCGAACAATTCTTTTTAGCGGCAAAATGTCCGTTCAAAATTATATATATGCTGGTCCCACTAATGCGCAGAGATACCTCAATCTCATGGTAAGTCATATGACGATCCTGCAAAATCAGTTTTCGCACTGCATTCATGTTTTCTTGGACAACCACCGATTTAGGACGACCTTCACGAAATCCATCCTCAAGAAAACTACGACCACTACTAAAGTCCGAAAACCAGCAATAAACAGTAGTCGTAGATGGTGCTTTAAATCCAAAAGTTGAATTAAGTTCATTCTTGTTGTTGTTCTACGTCTAAAGTTGAAAAAAATGATCGCACGGAAATGCTCCCGATCAAGTTCCATTTTTTTAATTTATCACAAAAAAATCAAACAACACTCTTTCGCCAAAACCTAACCGGAAAATGTCAAACTTCCCTATAAAAATAGCAGATGGCAGAACTAGTTTAATAAAATCCCGAAATATAAAAGGCAGCCCTCGTATATCTCACATGCTACTGTTCGTGTTTATTGATTGGACAGTCTCCGACTATTTGGCAATTACCGTGTTTGATCAATAGTGCTTCTTCGAAGGTGGTACGTTTGTAGAAATGAACATAAATCTTACTTCGTAAGCATTGCTGTCAACTTCGAGTCAAACCGATCAAATTAAAATGCAGCAACAGCCGGATACGCCAGATTTCGGGAGAGAGGGTTTTGCGACTCCAAGACGAAGGAGGAGGAGGAAAAAAAGACGCAGGGAGGACCTGATATTGGATATACCGGGGGTCAGAAAAATAATTCTTTCGGAACTAACACAGAAAATTGTCGAGTGAGTTGGCCAGTGGGTTCGGGGAAAAAAATGCCTGGCTGGTTCGGTATGTAGGTGTGTAGCCGGCAAAGATGTAACTTCGGAATACCCCTGGAAATACGTAAGGAAAGAACTGGTTCAAGACAATCTGGAGCTGCACGAAGAAAGCTCCGAGTTTTTGCCGATCAAGAGGGAGATTTTGGAATTTCCTAGAAGAGAAATTTTAATCGGTTACATCGTCGACGAAAGCAAAGACGGCGAGGACGAATTCTACATTTGCACCACGGAAGAAGCGACGGAAGCGGTCAACCAAATCATTGAGCGGATCAGACAGGAGCAAGAGGAAAGACTGCACAACGCTTTGGTCAAATACGCTCACCCGTGGTAACTCTTTACCGTGTTTTTTATTCGAGTGTCGAAAAGGTTACTTTTACGTTACATGACTTCGATGGGATCGGAGCTGGAGGTAGAGGAAGAGATAGTCAAAAATCAGAGAGCTCTTCTGGAAGTGGAGGTAGAGGCGAAATATCCCATTTTTCCTCACGAAATTCGATTCCGGATAGCGAACGTTGATCGCAGACCAGACGGTTACGTAGAACTGAAGAACGTGGAGCCCGATGCGGTGACCGCTAGGAAAAGAATTGATAATTACACACAGGTTGCACCTCGGTTCGTATCTGTGGAGGCCCAGACTACGTGTAAGCCATTTGGTGTTTTCCTAGAAACGTACCCTATACCTTATGTCAGAATATACAGGGTGTACGAAAAAATATTAAAAACAAAGGTGATCTGGTTCGAAATGAAGTTTAATTTTATTATATTTTTGCATATACAGGGGACTCAGTGTTGCCTGGGTAAACAAAACGTCATTTTTTTTAATGTAATATCCTATATATTACTACATTTTTGGAGTCTACTAATGTTTCTAGGAAAATTTCATACATAATGTTCTATGCCTATGTCTAATGGTTTTTGACATATATATGTAATTTGCAGGCAGTAAGAAAAATATATATCAATTTTTACTAAAAGGAAATCTTTATATTTTGATTTGGGTTTAATACCTTGTCGACAAGAACCTGCTTCCATAGAATTTTTTGATAAATATTAATACAGGGTGTTCAAAAAGTAAGATTTAGTAATAAATTAAGAAAACTTCTCAAAATCCCCAAAATATGTCGTATTTTATATATATTATTAATAAAAAGAGTGTATAAAATAATGAAATGCAGCTATTTTGTGTGTATAACGGTGATTTGAGCTGTTATGTATGACTGTGTCCGTGTATGAAGGTTTAGTCTAAAAAATGTATAGAATTATCCTGTTCAATCTCGATAGTGAATTTTATACGATTATGTAATGAGTTAATGTAATTCAAAAAAGAATTCAATTGTCTGTGCGTTCCAACAAAGCAAGCAAAGACATCATCCACGTATCTATACCACCATAGAAAACTTTTATTTAAAGGATGTTCTAGTATGATATTTTCCAAATTATCCATAAAAATCTCGGCTAACAAATCTGTGTGGAACTTTAAAATATTTACTAATTTTGTTGAGAGTTTCATTGCTGGAGCTGTTACATAACACACGACTGGTCTAATGGGCATATCTTGTATATGTAATTTAACTAAAGAATATAATTTCGGCGGTTGTGGATTCATAATTGCTAAGAAATTCTTGTTTTTGTCACTAAATGGTGTGGAGTTAGTAATTACTTTCTTGACTTGCCTTTGATATAACTCGGTAGAATCGTGTTTGATACATTGGAAAGGTTCTGGTTTGAGAAAATTGTGGGTTTTTGAAATACATTCTGGGAGATCGATAGCTATGACTGTCTTCCCTTTATCTGCACGTGTAAATATTATGTTATTTTGAGAAGCTCTGTTTTCGATAGTTTTTACTAGTGACATTTGAGAAATTTCTTGGTGTTTGTTGTTTTCTATTAATTGAGAGTTTATTATATTCGCTAATACATGTTTGTTTAAATTAGAATCGTTATAGTCCAAATGTCCAAAATCTCAAAAAAGTAAAAGCCACCTCAGTTCAATTTTTTAAATTTATGAAATTTGAGGGATTGGGGATTTTTGGAAGTTTTTTAAATTTAGTATTTAATCTTACTTTTTGAACACCTTGTATTATTAGTTATCGAAATATTATTGAACTTCTATTAAAGTAAGTTCTTATCGACAAGGTATTAAACTCAAACTAAAAAATAAAGATTTCCTTTTAGGAAAAATTGATATTTTCCTTAGGGCCAGCAAATGACATATGGACACCTCTATTACGCGGACACTGCTCTTTAAATGGACATGTTTTTTGGAACGAAATATTTGCCTACCGGTAAGTGGATTCCACAAAAAATGAAAATTGCTAACGTTTCGGAAAACGAAAATTTGTCAGTGCGGAAGCTCGGGGGACTTCAAATTGACAAAGTGTATTTTGATCGGTTTTCTCTATTGCGAGGTCAAAACGTTTCAATATCGGGACACTTAGTAAGGGCCATGGCTCAAGAAGTTGCCGGAAAACTTCATGTTCGAAATTTTAAAGCTTCTAATGGATGGCTGGAAAAGTGGCGCAAGAGACATGCGATATGTTTTAAGTATATCTCCAGAGAATCAGCAGATGTGAGTCAAGAAGACGTAAATAAGTTTAAAGATAAGTTGCCCACACTACTCCTCGGATATCAGCCACACGATATTTACAATGGATCAGACTCGCCTCACGAGACATTATGAATTAGTGGTTGTTTCACTTTGATAGAAAAATGGCTCTACAAAAGCGAAATATTTTATTATTCATGGATTAAGCAGCATCGCGCCCCGAGAGGTAACATTACAAAACATGAAAATTATCTTCTTGCCTGCAAATACAGTATGTCAACCTCTAGATCAGGGTATCATATAGAATGTTAAATTCTGTTATAGTGGACTCCTACAGAAGCACATTTTATCAAAGATAGATCAAGTAATATCCGCGTCATATTTATCAAAGTCTGTACTGGAATAAAGTTTCGTCAGAAACCAGACAAAATTGTTTCAACAAAGCTGATTTTCAAAAAAATAATAACTTTTCTATATCAATGAAATGGGATTCAAAAGATAATATCTAAGATTGGAAAAAATGGAACGATGTGTTGGAAAAATGAACATAACGCAACAAACTCTTGGAAACTATATTGGAATCGACAATATTACAGCGCCTGAGGAGACTAGTTTGACATTGAAGATGCAATTGAAAACATGAAAGAACCTGAACCGGAAGAAGACAGCGATCAAGAATATGATAGTGGGGAACCTAGCACGATTAACAGCCATAATGAAGCCTTAAAAATAATTACCGATCTAAAAGTTTTTGCTAAAGAGGACTACGTTGCATTTCAACACCTTAAAAATTTAGAAGATCATTTTTGTTAACACTTTGACTGCCATGCTGATTTTTATATTTTATTGCCTCAGACCAAGTGTGCGATTTCGAATATACTGTTGTGTTAGCGGCTTTTATGCACTTTTATGAACTTCTATAGTATATTTTTCGAAAATTTTTTATTTTTTTTTAGGGGCATCGCTAGCGATACCTAAAAACAAAACGAAACCGCTTTGAGATGCTGCTGAGATTTTGGCATTTTGCTGATAACGACCAAGCAGTTCCTGGAAACCGGACACATAAATTAGACAATGTTTTCGATAAACTGATGACAGGACGCTGAGTGCATCTGAAAATGTAACCTTGAAACTGATCGAGCACCTATTACAGGGAGGTAGAACATTATATGTAGACAACTTCTACACCAGCGTGCCTCTAGCTTATAAACTGCTTGAAAAACAAACGCACCTCGGGGGTACGTTACGCTCCAATCGAAAATTTATTCCTTAAAAAATAAGGAATGCCAAATTAGCAAGAGGCGAAATAATTGCCAAAGAATTTCCAGAGGGTGTAACCATTTTGAGAGCGATGTGCATATGCTATCAACATGCCATTTGGGAATGGAAACTGTGGTTTGGTTACCAGAAATGGGCAACAAATTGAAAAAATAAAACCCAAATGTATCGTCGATTATGACGGGGGCAAGTCTGCAGTCGATGTTAGTGACCAGTTGGCGTCCTATAATACAGCCCTTAGAAGGTGTAATAAGTGGTACCGAAAGCTGATGATCGAAATAATTTGGGATGCCGCACACTGGTAATGGTAATGGTAAACGCACACTGTCTATACAATCTCAATTCAGTAAACCCAAATTCAGTAAACATAACAACCTTTAGACAAAGTGTGGTTTCGTCGTAACTAGAAGTACCAATTTTGCCTGATGACCAAACTGCCCCAACTACAAGTAGGAGTACTAAAGCAAATATCACGCTTCACTTGATTACACATGAACAGAAAAAAAGAGCTAGATGTTCTAGCTGCTACCAGTTGTATGGCAAAAAGGGAAAAATAGTCGATGGGGTAAAAAAAATGGCTTCTCAGGTTATCACTGTTGGTGATCAATACGATGGGTGTCCTCATTTTTGTAATATTTGTTTTAACAAAAATCACTAAGAATGTTGATCAGTTGTTTTATTTTATGTATAATTACTATGTTTTGGACTTAGGTATACAATATTTTTTAAGGATTTTTAGATTTTTGAATAATAATAACAGTGTTTTTCTAATGTTTTTTTGGTTATAAGTGTTTTTATGTAACAAATTACATAAAATTACTTTGCATCTTAGTTTTTTTTCATTTTCGCCATTATCCCATGGTACTGACCCAAAATGTTACCCTCAGGCCAAAACTCAATGCCAATGTACCGTGGATCACTAGCGATACACGTGGCCTGTCGTGACAGATCTAGGTGTATAGCTAGCAATACACCTAGCGGTCAAAGTGTTAAAGCAAAAAATAATAAATATGCGTCAGACTAGTATCTTAGAGTTAGTAAATAAATAATTAAAATTCATTCACCTGCATTTTTTTCTATAGTTTCTTATATGTTTTGAATGAAATAAACGTAATACATCTTTATGATTGACGTTGTTTTGTTTTTCATGCACTTCTAATGAGCGGACACCTCTAATAAGCAGATAAAACTAAAGGAACCGTGAGTGTCCGGTTATAGGTGTTTTCACTGTATGTCAAAAACCATTAGACATAGGTAGATATGAAATTTTCCTAGAAACTTTAGTAGAATCCAAAAATGTAGTTATACACAGGAAGTTCCATTAAAAAAAATGAAATTGTGTTCACACAAGCAACACTGAGTGTCCTGTATATGCAAAAATATACTAAAATAAAACTTCGTACCTGTACAATAGCAGCATTTTCAGGCGCGTACCCCAAAAACTGGGCTACACAATATTTGTACGACGTTGGTGATGTCACCAATCTGCTAGAGGAATGTGAACCAAACATCATCCTCTACGCTCGAGGTCACTGCGACAATATATCCGATCTTTTGAGGGTAAGGGGGATCAAACGTCGGCAGGGGTGCGATCCCAAAAGTCGGAATGTCTCTAGGCGAATGGCAGCATAGACCTCTATGCTGACGACTTCGCTTTACTCGTTAAAGATCCATCTACCGCTGAAAGCAGCGAAGCCGCCAAAGAGTTCGTCGAATACATGTCCTTTATGGACGTAAATCTGTGCAAGGACAAAATGATTGCCGATATAGAATGGCACAGAATGTGGAGTGGAATAGTTGCTATCGCATACGCTGACATTGCGCCGAACACTTTGAACACTGGACCTAACAAAGAAGATCTAGTATTCGATTCCAGTACTTGGTTGATGCGCGATCAAAGAGTGTTTTTCAGGTATACAAGGCTGTGCACGGCTCGAACCCGGTGCTTCTCTGGAGTTTCGTCGACGGATTGAAACCCAAACTGATTCTGGAGTCGCCGCGGGAGGTCCACTCCCTTTCGTTTTGCAGTTTCGACGAGAATATCCTAGTCGGCGGCTGCAAAAATGGACAACTAGTGCTATGGGATATCCGAAACAAGCTCCAAAAGGTGGAGGAGAAGGAGGTGTTGACCAGCGCGCAGCAAAAATACAGAAACTACATGCACATGCTCATGGGCTGGATGAAGGACGTGCGGGACATCGCTGTAATCAGACCTGCGGCTGTCTCCGACTTGAGGTATTCCCACAAGGCCGCGGTAACTGGCATAACGTGGCTACATCCCTATTACGAATTCTCCAATATGGGGAAATTGAACCAGATAGAGGAAGATAGCGAAGACCGTTCGATGCAACTGTTGACTAGCAGCCTGGATGGTAGCGTCTTAATCTGGGACCTGTATAAAAAACCGGTGGTCGATCTAGGTGGCTACCGGCCTAGGAAGCTTAGAAGGTTGAAGCGGAGGCCTAGCGCTTTGGAAATGGATGTTTCTCCGTTCAAGATTTTACACCTCAATCTGAAGCCGATATACCAAATCAACGTGCCATTAAAGGACAATGCATCAAAATCGGCGGCCATCACTCAGAGCTACGCAAAGTACGCGGAAATAAAATACGAAAAGGTTAACTCCAATGAAAATCGAAGGTTTCGCATCAAGGAACGGGTGATCCACAGGGCAGTGTTCGAAAGGCGGGCCGATAATTTAAAACCAAATATGGTGATCGGGACTGTCGAAGGTGAGTTAACCCTTAACTACTGACTTAATTTGACGTCTGATATTAGTTTTCTGTCAAATTTTGAGTTTCTTAGAAAAATTTTATTTGGAAAAGAAAAATTAGATTTATATAGAAACAAATTTTGTTAAGAATAAAAATAAAATACAGTACAATACAATACAACTCAATGCTGTTGATACTCTTAATTAATTTCAAAAAATTGTATTGTAGATTTATAGATTTATAGATTTATAGATTTATATTATAGATTTAGATATAGATATCTATATATAACGGATTACTCAACCACAGAATATATATGTTATGGTCTATATCGAGTGTTTTCGGATTTATGGCCATTTGATCGGCAAAAGCTCTGTGTTGAATACTGTATTTTCCCAGCTGTAATTTTATTATATTTATAAGTAGTACAGTCATTTACTATACTTATCTTGGGGTTAGTTTTTTTTGTTCGTAAAAATGTGTACACCTCAAAAATGTACTAAGTTGCTTAACGCTTAATAAATATTTTTCATTTTGAATCACCTTGTATAAGCGATGCGAACTACAAGTATAGGATAAATGAACAGCTTTATAAAATTGTGGACATAATAAAATGACATCTGGATGAAAGGGGCTACTTAAAAAATATTTTTGGTTTCCCGCGTGTTTATGAATCACCCTGTGTATTTAAAATTAATTTTCAACTCTCTCTTTTAATGTTACCTATAACTTTTGTATTTCATATTTTATTCTAAAACATAATAAATGAGATATGTTACATTACAATAGTTGGTGGAGTATACCTATACTGGGGAAACTGCATTAAAAAAATGCGCCAAATACATTACCTCATAGGTGGTGCGGAGATGTGGGTCTATTTTATAAAATATGAATTTTGTAATAGTGGAAACCGCGATATCTCACGAATGGTGAGTAGTGAGAAAAAAATTGCCTGAACAATTTTTCTGGAGAATTGTATGATCTACAACTTACCGTTTACTAGGAAAATAGAAAAAAAACTCAAAAAACTAATGGTATATTTAACGGCGAATTTTGCCCAAGTTTTGACTTAATTTTGTATATTTTGACTGGATTAGTTGTCGATTTTCAGTCATCTGACGCCATGCTAGTAGTAAGAGTTAAAAAGGACACTGAGTACTTTCGTTGTTTTAAGACGGTTTTCAGGTGAGTACGCTGAAATTTCATGGCAAGGTCAGGATTTCGATTCCGGTGAGACTGTTAATTCGGAAATGGCCAGCTATCTCTACGATGGTCGATATCACGACGGTCCGGTAGTTTCCATTGACAAGTCTTCGTCATCGGGGGCCACGCTCACAGTTGGAGGTAAGGTGTTCGCTCTCTGGAGGAACGATTTGCCCGGCCGGCCTATACTCTGGCGGAAAGGCACTCACACCTACACAACCGGAGAATGGAATATATTCCAGGTGAGCCGATGGCACAACCGCTATCCAAAACTTCGTCCTTTTTTTATTCATAGTCGTTCAAAATCGTTTTGCACTCGATATCCGGATCCGCCCAGAAATGGATACCGTCTCTCAACAGCAGAGAACCCATATTCACGCAAATGTTGTCCAACAGTTATATGACCGATTCGGGGATTCATCCATTTCGTGGACCCAAAAATGTATACGGAATCGGGGACACACAGGGTGCGTTTCGCATATTTTCCGTGCCGCAATCGGCCGTGTCCAGTTCAGAAGAACTACTCAGGAGTATGAAAGAGTTCATCGACAGAGAGGTAGCGAGGAAGAAATTGTTCACCAAGTGGCAGGTGAGGACGGGGGCGGGTAGGGTCGCTCATCGATTTGCTGATTCAGATATTTTGCCTGCCTCCCAATCCGCACTGCTTAATGTCACTGATGACCATTTCAGGGCTCATGGTGTATCAAGAAACACTTTTGATTATTGCAATGCCTTCGATACCTTAAATTAAAAGCTTCTTATTTTAGAGTTAAAGTTACTTGGGAGGTCGCCGGCAGACGGTTACGTTGGGATGAGCGGTGTCTGAATTCCGCAAAGCATCATTTTGGGACCTTTATTGTTCTCTACTATTCGTAACAAAATCTGCGAAGCGAGGGGGAACTGGATGAAGGAAAGGTGCAGAGAAATAGAGGACCTGGAACGAAAATTTTGGACATAGAGAATAAGCTGGAGATCTGGAGAACTTATATAAAGTAGCTTTTCAATGACCGACGAGCAGCTGTCTACGAGCTAATAACACCCGAGAACCCACTTTAATAACAAGAGATGAAATTGACCACGCTATAAGGATAGCAAAATTTGGCAAAGCAGTGGGGCCAGACGATGTGGATTGTGAACTTTTGAAATTGCTTGACGAACATTCGATGTAGCTACAGCGACGTATACAAGCCTAGTAATATTTCACATGATTGGCTTCTGTCTACTTTTCTCCCAATCCCAAAAAAAGCTCGACCATCTTAATGTGATGACCACCGGCTCATAAGTCTAACGAGCCATGTTCTGAAAATACTACATACAACGTATACGAAACTGAAACCTCTGACACGCAATTTGGCAATGGATAGATAATGGAAATCCTACAAAAACTGAACATCGACTATCATGACATGTAGATTATATCAAAGTTGCACTGGGGTCAAGCCGCTAAGGTTAGAATAGATATCGCTCTCTCCGAAGAGGTCAGTGTACGGAAGGGTATCAGACAGGAAAATCCTTAATAATATTACAAGACTAAAATGACAAAACTAAAATGATGGTGGTAACAAAAAGGAAGCAAGCAACTGGCCAACAAAACAAATTGAACAAGTAAGACACTACAAATACGTTGACCCATAATTAATGAAGACGTTCAACATAAATAGGAAATCCTATCACTAATGGTTCAATGCTATATATATCTCGAATAGGGAAACCACAAGGAGGTTGGAAGCTTTTGAAATGTGGACTTATAGACGCATGCTGAGAGTCTCATAGATGAGTAGAACTACAAACGAGGAAATGTTTGGAAGAATGGGCAAAGAGCTCGAAATACTCTTTACTTGAGTTCCTAATACATATATCACGCGCTACAAGATATGAGCTACTGAAAGTCATTATGGAGGGCAAAATTGTAGGTATACGAAGTCGAAGAATATCTTGGTTGCGCAATCTTCGAGATTGGTTTGGTCTATTGTCAATTGAATTATTTAGATCAGCCGTATCAAAAGTGTAGGTAGCCATGATGATCAGCAACCTCCAAAGGAGAAGCTGATACAAAGAAGAATTGTTCTCTATTTACACCTCTGATTTCTCTAGGCACCTAAATAAATGTTAGTCTCATCGATATGCTGATGTCCAAAGCCCATTATTCCAAGACCCAGGTTGTTTTTTTGGGGCAATAAAAGGGAGAAAATTATCCAGTACAATGATCTGAAACTTTCCTTGAATGGTACTCCGCTTGAATTTGTCGACAATGGTAAAAACTTATGAGTCTTTCTTGATAGTAAACTGCTTTGTGATTCTCACTTGTCTTATTTCCTGCAGAGGTCCTACAGTAAACTGAAAGTTCTTTACATATGTAAAGACTACTGAGATTAGACTTAAGTTCTGTGACTCTCTTATACTTTCTCTTTTGGGATATGTCCGGCTCTAAAACGGAAAGACCAATACAGCTCTAAAACTGGAAAATGCCTGCCTGAGATAGAGCTATAGTTTGCGTAAGTTTGGCCATATTACGAAGGCACTCAAGCATTTTCAGTGGTTAAATCTATCTAAAAGGTATCTTGTGCATCTGTCTACATTGGTGTACGAAATTACCAGGCACGAAAAGCCCAGGTATGATAGACTGGTCAGGGGTAGTGATATACATAACCGTAACCAGTTCGATGTTCCCAAGCACTGTACGGCTGCGTTTCAGAGCTTTTTCAGATATTTCGCTATTAAAATTTACAATTCACTTCCACTGTTCATCTACTTTTACATTTGAGAGTGAGATTAAGGGGATGCTGAACCGCTCTTTTTTTTTTAATTTACTCATTTTTGAATATTATCCTTGCTTTTTCCAGTGTCTATTTTTTTTCTTTCTTGTTGTTGTTGATTCGAACTTGCTAACGTTTCTCCAATCATTCTGTTGGCTTCTTCTGAGCTGAACTGAAACTGGCTCACTCTGTACATGCTTACATGTTATTTGAGGGTAAAATATATAAGTAAATCTACTAGGGACTCTTGACCATCAGGCCAAATAACAAAGGTATCATCGACGTAGCGTCATCAAAATTTTAGTTTTAGATGGAAGGTATCAACAGCTTTCATCTCAAAGCCTTCCATGAATATATTCACGATGACTGGCAATAATGGAGAACCATAGCTGTTTCCGACGTTTCTTCAAAAATTTGACAGTGATGAGAAAAATAAGGCTCGTGAGGGCAGCGCCAAAATTTTCCGGTCTGAATATGAAAGAGACAAAGTAGAGCAACAATTTTTTATTATTTTTCAATATAATCCCTCTTAACTTCAACACTTATTACATTTCTTTATTAACAACTCAATCCCTTTAAAAAAATATTCTTTTGGTTTCTCTGCAAAATGAGCTAAAACAGCCTCTTTTAACTAAATTTCGTCGTTAAGCCGCCGTCCACGTCATTCCTTTTTCAAATATCCAAACAATTAATAGTCGCTGGGGCCATATCTGGACTATAGGGACGATGATCTATCTGTTGGAACCCACCCTCTAAAATGGTAGCTTGTGCAAGCAATACTGACAGGTGCATTACCGTGCAAAAGACGCAAGCCTCTGGTCAGTTTTCCTCGACATTTTACACGTATGCCGACTCGCAATTTATGTAATAATGTTGCGTAATATTTACCATTGACAGTGGTATTAGTTTCTTTAAAATCTATCAAAAGAATTCCATCACAATCCCAAAAGATCGTGGCTTTCACTTTTTTTCTTGAAGATGCTTCACCCTTACGACGCCACTCCATTGATTGTTTTTTCGATAGAGGGTTATAAAAGAGAACCATACTTTCATCTCCCGAAAGGTTTTTAGGAGCCCATTTTGCACTAACCTAAATGAATATGCAGGATTCGATGAACACTTGTATCAGAAAGCTTAGTAATTTCTGAGATTTCCTTGACCTTTAAACGTGGATCACTCAATACCTCCTCTTCCACAATCGCAACAATATCTTCCGTTATGACCTCCACTGGTTGACCAGTTCTTGAATCGTCTTCAAGGGACTCCTGCCCCATTCGAAAACGTGTTGCCCATTCTTTCACTACAGAATACGAAGGAGAACTTTGGCCGTCCAGCCTTTCTTTCTTCTTTATGACTGCTCTATATTCAAATGGCGTTATTTGCGACATTTTTTCGGACACGTCTTGTTTAAAATGCTGTCAATAAAAAACTATTTGACGCAAGACTTCAATTTTTTTTTCGCAGCCTACTAAGATATATATTTATGTTCAAGCTGACAAGATGATTGGTGAAACGTTCGACTCAACAACAACCAATGCAGGAGAAATCCAGAAGTTTTGTAAATAGTATTGCCTGTGCAAATTTCTTTGTAAAAATTAAGTGGCTTATGTTTATATTTGTTAGTGGTTAGGTGCAGTAGCGCGGCTAGACCTCGCTACCTATTCAACTCTATTGTGGTATATATATTTTTTGTTGTATTTTAATAAAGGCTATTTATTATTGTTATTATTGATTTTCTGTTTGGTTCAAGGACGAGTATAATCAAAAGCATAAAGTGCCGGTAAAAAAGGAAACGCCGACCAAGGACGCGATCACAGAGGAAGAAACTGATGAAAGAGAGATTCCAGTCAAAAGAGGCCCGCAGCCAGGTAAATACATCGAGTGGGTCAAAGAGCAGAGACGTCAAGCGGAGGAGGCCCGAATCAAAGCAACCATCATTACCAAGAAGCAATTGGACACCAAGGAACTGGAGAAGAGGAGGAAGCCTCTGCAACAGCTCGACGAAGAGAACGAGAGGAAAAAGAGGAAGCAAAAGCAGAGGCTTAAAGAAGGGGAGCATATTTTCCGGGACACTGTTGCCAGCTTGTTCCCAGACGCAGTCAAAGAGAAACCTGCCCTTCCTCTAGATCCGTATGGCGGAGGCGACCCCACCGAAGACAAAGAGCGTTGCTACGCCTCGTTCCATTTGTTGTCCGACGAAGCCAGAACTTTTATGCAATCGAATCCCTTAGACAACCGGTTTGACTTTAGGACTTTGATTTTGGGTATAAGGGTGGGCAATGTGTGGTTCTTATTAATCAAAGTCTGATTGCAGAAGCAAGGAAGAGACAGCAGATGATAAATACGTTATTCACCCGCACAGACGAAGATACCACGATGTAATTTAATGAGTTTTGTAATAATGTTGTGGAATAAATCAATTGCAATATTTCTACAGTTCACCTGGATCCAAAGGAAAAATACAAACATGTCTTTAGCGTTTAAGTATAATTCCTATTAGAGAGCTAACTTTTTTAATATTGCTTTCGGTACTTAGTTCACCTATTTTGAAGATTATCAGCTTGCATCTTGGACTTTGTGTCTAATTTCGAAAATCACTTACGATGCTTTGAGTTTGTATTTTTTGTGGTATTGCTTTTGTATTAACTAAATATGGTTTAATAAGTTTGTGATGAAGGGCTGGAGGGAAAAGGTGAAACTTCGTTCTTTTTGGCTCGAAGACTGCCCGTGAACATGTTTCTTTTGCTTTACGCCGATGCCTTCACTCTGTCTTCCGAAAGATATTGGTTTCATTTGGATTCTTCTCAGAACTAGGCGCTGAACAGGTCAGATGTTTACTTTTTCAAGAAATAATTAATTAAGACAGATGACGATAGGTCTAAAAAAAATCTGAACCAAAGCAAGTTCATGGTTGTTATGAGAAACAATATCCTAAACACTAGACTAAAGGTCAGCAAATATTGATATTTGGGATGCTTGATAAACGAGAGATGGGACTCGAATCAGGAAAGAAGCACAAGGTAAAACAACATTTCTAAAGCTTGAAAAATTTTTTACCAACAAAAACTTGAATTTCAGTCAGAATAATGAAATGTTATATCACTTCCTACTACTGAGCACGTGAAAAGACAAGAGGCATTGGAAGTGATATGCGGCTGTCATGGATGGAGAAAAATATCGAATGAAACGAATCATTATGCAGTAAACAATCGAAGGAAAGAGATTTATAGGAAAGAGACTCATAGTCAAAGAATCTTAGGGAATAGCTGACATTAAATAGTAACAAAGGACTGTTTAGAGTTGCACCGGTACAAACACTTGAAAAACTGTTAAGCATAAAACTAGTATTCCCAAGATTTCGACAAAATCTTAGTATTTGTGCTGGGGTATGAGAACCTTTGCGCTGACGAATGAGGACTTCTAATGAAGCTGCAGGTAGCCATTTTCACCACCTACTGTGATTTTGTTTATAAACGCTTAACTATACTTAGTTTAAATTAAAAGCCTTAAAAATGGCAAATCGTATTATCCTCAGACTTCTTTTGTAGTTGTCTCTTTGAAAGTTGATATTTTGGTAGCTGCGTTTCTTGATTTGTCACCTTCTGAACCTTCTTCTTGGGTTAACTCATCTTTGTAGCGAGTTGATGTTAGCATCTTCTATTTCTTAGGAACTTTTCTGCGTTGTTGAGCATGAGGATGACGTAAGTCTTCAGTAGCAGCTGCCAACGGTTCTTTCCTAGAGTACGGAGCTGGAATAGGATTATTTATTTCAAATGGAACGCCCTGTATATTAATACTGGTTTAGATTAGACCCTTGAAAGATGAATTTAACGATGTATAACATAAATGCAACATTTCGGAATTATTAACGTTCATCTTCATTACAATTTACAAATCTTCTCGATGATTAGGTCTGATTTTATATTAATAAGAATGCCTAAGAATGGCAGATTATTATTAGTTTTAAATTCAATGGTAAAACGTATGTTAGGGTGTATAGAATTTAAATCTCTTAGGAAATTTTGCCCATGAGCCCAAGTAACAAAGGTATGATCATAATTTTTGTTTTAGGTATTGCGAATTTTCTTCTCAAAGCTTTCCATAAATATACTCGAGATGACTGGTGATACTAGAGACCCCTAAGCTATTCCAGATGTTTGTTCAAAAATTCGACCATTTTTCCAGATTCTCGAATATTAATATATCTGAAATAATGTTGAGAGTTTCAGGAATAGGTAAAACGTCAAAACTAACTAGAATATCCTGTGGATTTAATGTAATGTTTTTTAATTGTTCATTGAAATGAAAGGAATTATGTAAGAATTAATTATCATTTTTCACTGTAAGCCAATGAGAACCAATGATGCTAATAGGTCGAAAGAATAGTCCTGGGAGTCATGAGGGGTGACATACTTTTTCAAGGATTCTGATAGAGGAAAAGGCTTAAAGATTTAAGGTGCGTTCCATAGATGACGTAAAATCTTGCATACATTGGAATTTTTTCCTGATATTCACTTGTGTTCATGATTTTGTGGTTTCAAATCGAATTTCATAAGCTGTTTGAGATGGCAGTTTGTTTAGGCTAGACTCGACATTTAAAATGATTTGCTCTTTTGGTATAATACCAGGGGCATCCGCATCAGGAAGTTGCTTTTACCATTTATATTGAGGCAGGAGAAATCCAGATTTGTAAATAATATTACAGTTAAAAAGTACATCTTCATTATTGGGGTCATATTTAAACTGATTTATCTAGGGTGTTTGAGTCTGGTTTCAAATTCTCTTTGCGCATAAAAAGAGATAAGCTAGTCATTTATTTATTTTGCAAAGAAAAATACAGTGTTTCCACATATCGCGCATCGTTATCTGTCTCCCAGTAGTAAATAATTTTGCCTTTTCCATCATCCGGTATTTACACCATTAAGTATATTTTCTTATCTTCATTACGTTCTTCCATTGTTCCATTTGAAACAAAAAATTTGGTAGTCGCCAAGGCGAAACGAGTCACCCTGTATACAAAAAATAATAACAACAACTATAATAATAATATAATTATTATGATAATAATAATGGAGTTTATTAGCAAAAAATTAATTAGAGAAAATATATTTGTATAATTTGAAGGCAATTTGGAAGTGGTCAAACTTCATCCCAAAAGTATGTAGAATCGAAAAAAAAAGAAACAACAGGTGTCCGCAAAATTATGTATTCAATACTAAAGAATCAGATAAAGTAATTTGTAGTTTTTTCGAAAGTAATTGACGACTTGGAAATAACACGTTCAAACTTCTTGCTAGTTTTATGCATCTAATAGAGTCTTCTCCAACTGTAATGTTAAATGCAGTTTCAATGTTATTCAACCAAATACAACAACCGACGATTTTGGCTCCCTTTAACTGTAGATTGTGACTCTCGGAAAACGCGACTAGGGGTGTTATATCTTCATTTAACCTTTCTTGGACAGCTGTTGTTTCATTAGGTGGAAAGGAGATATAAAGCTGTCTACCTTCTGCGTATAAATGTATGCTGTTAGCGCTTTATGTTACGTAGTCAGGACATCTGCTTCCTACCAACTCCTCGTCTACCGTCCATAATCGTTCTGAAGAGATGGTATTTTTCGCCCCTCATTATAGGCCCCCTTCGTTTGGCAGTTATGACGAGCTCACGATTTGTCTTTGCTCATTGGTCACTCTTACAGTCCACGAATTTTTTAAGATTCGACGAAGGGTCCACATCTCAAATGTCAGTGTTCAAGACTCGACTCCGCATAGAAGGATGGACCTTACGTAGCATTCAACCATTCGCTGTCGAAGAGTCATATTCAAGCTGTTATGGCAGAGCACTGACCTCATAGAACAAAAATTGGAACGTGCAATCTCAATTCGGTCTTTAATTCTTATATCCGGGTCAGAGACGCTAGGTATTTGAACCTTCTGACTTTTTCTATGCGCTCTTCGTTTAGTTCCAGATGAGCATTGTGTTGAGTGGCTAAATATCATAAATTTCGGTTTTGTTATATTTATATTCAGTCTCATTTCTTGGTTGACGGTGCTCACACTATCTAGAAATCGTGGAGGTATCCTACTCATTTACCTTAATGCCTATGTCCGTCCTTTCTCCTCTGCCCCATGTGGAAGTCGCCTTTACCGCGAATTTAAACTCCTGTTTCCCGAACGTGTGATTCAAAATGTACAGAATCCCCCCAATAGCCCCCTCCCCCCAACGAGGAAGCCAAAACAAACGAACGGCGATCGAGCCGTCGGTACGCAGAGTGCAAGAGTGCCGTGAAAGCGTGCGACATCTCGTCGCGATCCTGACGTTTCGCTTTCGAGGTTTACGACGCGCGCGGGTCTAGGGCGGCGCTGGCCGTTTCGTCGCGGCCTCCTGCGATATTCGGGCCGGATAATGTGTCAATCGCGAAGTTGCCCAAGAAATTATTAATAACCGAAAGTTGCGTGGTGAAATCGAGGCGCGCAATTTTGGTCCCGAAATTACGGCTTTGGTAATTTTACGTCTTCTAATTAGAAAAAGGAACGCGCATCGTAGAAAAGTGGATCGGTCGAATCGGCTGGCGGAAGATGGACCACTGTGAGGTTGTGGTTTTGGATCGGTCGTTCTGTCTGGGATAGACTAGGAGGTTTGTAAAATTAACGCGGAAAATGCAGTCCAATTCAGTTTCAAGGGCATCGCCGACTGTTATTAGTCGATTTCTTGATTGCACAAACTTTGCAGCGTAGATTCCGGGTCTCTTTATTAGAAGAGTATAGGCATCTCTGTGGACCATATAGGTACTAGATATAGATGCTAAAGATCCATATAGAGGACCTGCATATGCTGATAATAGCGGAACTTATGAAGCAACAATAAAAAAAAATTGATAAGGTCCATTCAACATATCGTTTTTAACCAATGATCTTGCGGCATTCAACGACCATGATGCCGGCTGACAGATCGTCGATACGTAGCTTCTGTATTTTTACGGCAGGTATAAATTCACACTATAATTCAGCCATAGTCTTTTGTAATCCCATTTAAACAAAAACGTTAATGATGCATCATACATACAAACTTACTCACACAGAATATTTTCTCTCCTTCTTCTTCTTCCTTGTTTCTATTGGGCACGTGTGCTATGGACACCCGCTCACTTGATTATAATAGCAAGTAATGTTTCTTCGCTCGCTTTGAAGCTCACAAAAATAAATCACCTTTCTATCTTTTAAATTAACTTTACATAAGGCTGACACATGCATAAACACGTTTTTACAGTTTTGACTGCAACACAACAAGTTTTCCAGTCGCCATTCTTATCACAAAATATCAAAAAATTGCTGAGGTAATTGCCAAACTCCAAAAGTGAAACCAACAATGGCACAGATTGCTAGTATTCTGTAACAATAGCATTTAATTGGGTCGGCGTTGCCGAGAGACTGGTTTTACGTTTTTATAAAAATAAACTAATTTTCACATGGGCAAAGTGATTCTCGATAATCTTTACTGTAATTGAGCCGCTATATTATCTAATAGATATATACTATGGGCAGATATTTTTTTCTATTACCTACCCTTTTAGAAAATAACGTTTTCCAGAATAGGCAAGAAATTTTTTTAAACAACAAATGTTCGCTTTCAGTTAAAACTGTAAAAAGCATTAAATTTTAGAATGCCATTGTGAAGTGAAAATTGCCTATTGAAAGATTTATAATCACACGTTCTTCCACTTCCATAAATGCGCATTTATGTAGATGTGGGCACAGTCTTTATTTCAGATGGCTAAGTTAGCTAATCACTTCTTGCGTTTTCGGTACTTTCGTCACGAGTCACGAGATGTTTTCGCTAGATTTTATCCACTGATGGTATTTTGATATTTTTCAAGCAAGGCAACGCTCATTTATTAAACATCAGCTCCGCTGTTGCCAAAATAAACTCGTGACTAAAGTGGGGCTTAGGAAACTTGTTGCATGTTGTTGGTGTTTTTATAGTTTCAAAAAAAATAAAAAAAATATTCTAATTATAATATAATTTCTCGCTTATCCATGCTTTATTCAAATATGGCGCCATATGAAAAATGTCACTCAACAAGTTGTGGATAAGTTTGGTTAAGTGTTATACCTGATTCGGTTTCAAAAATCCCCATCTGGAAATTGTAAAGTTTCTATTGAATTTCCTTAGTATATAATAGAAATTTGTCAGGTAACCGCGAACTAAAAGCGGAAGTATTCGAGCAATTCCATCGGTTCTAAATCACTGACGTTAATTATAAGACGACATCTCCCATATACAGTAAGGAATTTATTGGCAATCGACCACAAAAAACCACAAAAACGCGAAATAGATTAGCGACGTGCGATAACATCAAATAATTAAAAATGTCGGAGTCCTTCGATGTTACTTTGGATTCTACTCGACACGTCTCGCAATTGGTTTTCTCCATTTACGTTTTATACAGGAGGTCCTTCCTATGGAATTATACGTTGAACTGCAAAATGAAAATGTATGGAATTCGGGATACAGATTGAGTCGTATTTATCACGTAGAAAACAGTGTGGAGAGACAGCAACCTTAAAAAGTCTACGATTTGGAGTACCTCAAGGCTCAATATATATATATATATATATATATATATATATATATATATATATATATATATATATATATATATATATATATATATATATATATATATATATATATATATATATATATATATATATATATATATATATATATATATATTTTCATGAGCTTTGGGAAAAACTTTCAAGAATGAAGTGTGAGTAGAATAGGGCTACTTTTGAATATTTAGTTCAAAAATAACGCCTAAAACCTGAACCTTGACGAGACCCAACATTTGACTATTTCAACTGACAAAGCCATTACAAATGGTAGTTCAGCTAAACCACTTGGTGTTGTTATCGATCACAGACTGAATTAATCGGAATATGTTCGTGAATTGAAAGCGAAACTTGGCAGTGATGATGAGTACCTAATTTTATTCATCGTCTTAGTGTGTTATTTTTAAATTGCAAAACCAAGCAATAAGAACCATTGCTATCGTAATTATTGTCAGCCATTGTTTATAACGCTACGCATTATGTCATTGCCATGCGTTTAGTTGTATCACCAGCTGCTTCATATTCATAAAAATCGTGCATATATACCAAGAAATCATAATATATGATATAATGGGTGTTTTTTTTTCGATGTATAGAACTTTAAGTGGCATTACCGTTCAAGATGGCGACAAGCTGTCAAGTGATTTATTCTCAGTTTGGTTTGGTCTATTCATCATGAATAGACTCACGCCTGAACAACGCTTGCAAATAGTGCAATTTTATTTCGAAAATAATGGTTCTGCACAGAATACGTATCGAGCACTACGTTTATTTTATCGTTGACAAAACCGTCCATCAGAGCAGTTAATTCGATTAACTATGGAACGTTTTCGCACCACGTTTACTCTTATTGATAACTCGCATCCCCAGAGACGCCGTACGGTGCGTACAGAAGAAACTATTGCTGCTGTAGAGCGTAGCATTGAGGAAGACCCGAATGAGTCTATCCGCCATCGAGCACAAAAATTGGATCTGTGTTCATCCATTTTATGGAAGATTTTGCGGAAGGATCTTGGTTTACCTGCTTACAAAATCCAACTTGTGCAAGAATTGAAGAAAAACCATCATGAAGTAAAGCGTAGATTCGTCGAATGGGCCCAAAACGAGATTGCCGTTGTTCCCGATTTTCATAAGCGAATTTTGTTTAGCGATGAAGCGCACTTCTGGTTGAATGGCCATATCAACAAACAAAACTGCCGCATTTGGAGAGAAACTAATGATCAAGTGTATGTCGAAACACCGTTACATCGAGAAAAACTGACTGTTGGGTGCGCTTTGTGGGCTGGTGGAATCATTGGTCCGTACTGCTTCAAAAACGATGAAGGCCAGAACGTTACAGTCAATGGTGATCAGGACAGAGCTATGATTACTAACTCTTTCATTACTGAATTGAATAAACATGATGTCCAGGAGATGTGGTTTCAACAAGACGGCGTAACATGTCACACAGCTCGTGCCACAATCGATTTATTGAAAGATACGTTTGGTGACCGCCTAATTTCACATTTTGGACCTGTGAATTGGCCTCCAAGATCTTGTGATTTAACACCACTACGCAATTTTCTGTGGGGCTATGTAAAGTCATTTGTCTATGCGGATAAGCCACAAACGCTTGACCATTTGGAAGACAACATTCGCTGTTAATGCCGATATACGGCCACAAATGTTTGAAAAATTCGTCATATGCTATATGCCATATGCCCGAAATCATATTTAAAATGTAATGCCAGATTATCTTTCGGATAAATAAAATTCACGTTAATCGAATAATCCATCGTTGTTTTAAAGCCACTTAAAGTATTATACATCGAAAAAAAAAACACTTTATAGATTCGAGAATTGTCTTTATTTTGACTTGTATAATCTTCTGAATGTCAACATAAGATCCTTACATGACACGTATTTTAAAATGAGAGTTAAAGATTACTTACTACTTCACTCTTTCTACTCTATCTCTGCATTGAAAGAAAAAGTAAAAAGTAGCACAGATTTCTTCGTGGTTTAATACCAAGTTTAGTTTAATACTTTAATGTCCACCACCAACTTTGTGTTTATTGTGATTGACTGTTTGTTTTTTGTGATAGTCAATAAAAAAAACTATTTAACTATTAAACATGAGCCATCGCAAGGAAACTGATTTTGTTCGTAGTGCTGAGTTAAGTAACATGATAGTCCTACCAATTTCTGGTCATTTATTCAGCATAAGAAGGCAGATTTTGCGAACCCCAGCCACGATGTCATATTCTAGTCAGTCAGTCAGTCAGTCAGTCATGCTAATATGTTTGTTGCAGCTTCTGCAAAGTACTTTGGCAGCGTTTACACCATATACCAGCCAGTTCCATGTTCATTTTCAACCGTGTCCTTTAATCCCGATGTAGTCAATAAATCTAAAGCTTACCATTCAGGATGTCTTATCAGCAAGCAAAGCACTCAAAAACAAAATTACTGCTGGTGCTGATGGCATGCCAAGTTTTGCGCTCCTTTATGTCACATTTTTAACATGATACTCAAATTGACCCTTCTGTAGTTGAAAACTAAAAAAGAAAAAAAAATCTAAAATATTGGAGATTATATTAATTAAATTTATTTTAGCTCAAATTAGAAATAAACTATATACTCTACTGGGTTTTTTGCGAGAAGATCATATATCACCAACTTATGCTCCCTGTCTGCGTACGTCTGTGACTCTCTGAACAAGCAAGGTCAAGTTGACGTTATATACATTGACTTTCACCAAGCGTTTGACCAGATAGATCATCACTTACTGATTGAAAAATCATCTCAAAAATTTGGTTTGAACGATTGGCTGATTACAGTGTTGAGGTCCTATCTGGTGAACCGTCAACAGTTCGTTGAGATTGATGTTCCAACTTCTGGTGTGCCTCAAGGTTCTAATCTTGGACCACTTCTGCAATAGTATCCGCATAGGCATAGGCAAGCTTGTCTGCGACTATATGAATGCATTGACTCTCCAGGACAACATCAATATTGTCAGTCAGTGGTGTACTACAAATAAATTGCA